CCGCTTACTCTCTCTGTCTCTCTCAAAATACATAAACTTTAAATATAAAAAAAAGTTAAAACAGAGTTACTATATGACCCAGCAACTCCACTCACAAATATATGCCCAAGAGAAGTGAAAATATATGTCCATACCTGGATATGAATATTTACAGAAACATTATTCATAATAGCTGAAAAAAAATAGAAAAAAACTCAAATGTCCATCAACTGATAAACTGTCTTACATGCATATACTAGAAGGTTATTCAGGATTAAAGTAAATGAAATACTAATACATAGTACAACATGGATGAACCTCAAGAACAGTTTGCTAGGTGAAAGGAGTCACTCATAAAAGACTACGTATATATCGTATGAGTCTATTTATATGAAATATTCAGAATAGGCAAATGTGTAGCAGCAGAAGGCAAATTAGTAAAGGACTAGGAATAGAGGAGATACAAGTGAACAACAGTGACTCCTATTGGAAAAGGGATTTTTTGGGGAATGGGGTGAAATCTAAAATTAGATTGTGGTAATGGTTATACAACCCTGTGAATATAAAGTAAAAACCACCGAATTATACATTTTAAATAGGTGAGTTATATGATACATAAATTATATTTCCAGCTAGTGTTTAATACACTCCTAATTTGTTTTTTAAAAAAATGTTTTGGGGCGCCTGGGTGGCGCAGTCGGTTAAGCGTCCGACTTCAGCCAGGTCACGATCTTGCGGTCCGTGAGTTCGAGCCCCGCGTCAGGCTCTGGGCTGATGGCTCGGAGCCTGGAGCCTGTTTCCGATTCTGTGTCTCCCTCTCTCTCTGACCCTCCCCCGTTCATGCTCTGTCTCTCTCTGTCCCAAAAAAAATAAATAAACATTGAAAAAAAAATTAAAAAAAAAAAAAATATGTTTTTTATCAATTGAAGATACTGAGGAAGTTTTTAAATTATTCTTGTGATGTTAAAAGGGAAATAAAAGTACTAAAAGTGGTTTAAATTATATAGAAGATGTATCTGTGACCTTATGTATTTTATACTTAAAATTTTTTAATAGTTTGACTAAAATATGTGTATTTTTCCAAGGGAAAAATTTTAACCTGAAACAGTTACGATTAACTTCCATTTGTTAAATATTTGCTATATACTAGGTCATTTGCTGTAATAATTTAATGCCCCCAAAATAAGGGTTGTTGGTTTTTTTTTCAGTTTACTGATGAGGAAACAGCCTCAAAACCAAAAATCACATCTATTGCAACAACATGGATGGAGCTAGAATATATTATGCTAAGTGAAATAAGTCAGTCAGAAAAAGACAAATATCATATGATTTCACTCATATGTGGAATTTAAAAAACAAAACAAATGAAAATAGGGAAAGGGGAGAAAAAGAAGAAGAAAGGGAAACAAACCACAAGAGACCCCTAACGATAGAAGAGACCCCTAACGATAGAGAGCAAACTGAGGGTTGATGGAGGGAAGTAGGTTGGGGGGGGGGG